ACCGCCTACTGCTTTGTCTGAAGCATCTACCATCAACTGGGAGGAAAAATGGAATTCGGGTACGACAACGTAGTTTCTTGAGCTAGTTCACTCCTTAGGCGTTTAGTTGTGTCAACAACTTCGGGCGTGAAGTCTACATTAGTAATTACACAGGGAGGTACTGGGACTGGTTCTGAATCATTCAGTGGTTTTTCTTTAGTTAGTGAGAAACAAAAGTGTTCACTAAATAGCTCTGTAACAAGTATAGGATCTTCGTATACTTGTTTGTCCTTAATAGAGTTGTTCTCTCTCGACTTAGAACGTTTAAGTTTATTTTGAAGGAGTATAGTCAGTGCAGATGAGTTATTATTAAGTTTGACTGCACGTGTTTCCTGTGCGATTGCTTTTTATGTACGTATCGCCCCTGTTCGAAAAAATATTTCCGTCATCGTTACTCAAGAGGAATAGTCATCAAACCTGTGGAATCGAGTACAATGTCTTTGAAGAAGTCTTCGTGTACCGACCTGTATATACAGATCTTTAGAGAACGTAGGTATACAGTATTGTAAAGGTCAGATTTTGTTGATGATACTTCTGATGTTAAGATAAAATATATTGGTTAGTGTGTCGGTATTGTTTGCAGTAAAGAAAGTCCCCAAATCAGTACTTCTTAGGTAATTGTGGAAGTCATTCCAATCAACATTGCAATAGTTTCTACGAAGTGTTACGGTTTCACGTCTACCGGTTGTGGATTTTATATTAAGGCTACATATGACAATGTTATAATCACTACCTGGAAACGTTTTTCTAATATACACAGTATTGGGGGTGAGGCCAAGATATTTTGATGTCTGATAGGGCTATCGACATACCGAGTCCACTGTTCAAGCTCTAGACATTTAATAAATGGTTCATAACCTTTCGGCACCTTGACTGGCAGCCAAGAAATTGCGGGCATTTTGAAGTCACCACAAATAAGCTTGCCTGTCAATGGAAGGGATGATACTAGTGGGAATACCTCCGATAATACTGTTATTTCATCTATTGGTGCTTTAGGTTGACGATAAACGCAGACGAGCAGCAAGGTAACGGAATTCGACGGCTTTAATACAATCCACACCGAATCCTTCAGTTTTTTTAATACAGGTATGTCACATAGTAGTGAGTTTAGGCTAGAGCGAGCGTAAATAAGCCATCCTCCGCCTCCTTCTTTTAATCTATCACTTCTATGTGAGAAATAGTTATAAAAAGAGTTACTTAGGTCGGGAATATTACTGTTAGTTCATGCTTCAGACATCATTATAAGTGATGGATGATATATGGATACAAACAGGGCTAAATCCGTCTTTTTATTGCAGATCGATCTAGCGTTGATAAGGCATATTAAACAGATGGCCTACTATGTTAAAATGGGTGAGAGTATCTCGAATAAAGTTGTCGTAACCCTCGCGAGTGTGAGATGGGTTTGAATGTTCTTCAGTAGCTCGGTATTTTGATAGTTAGACTTAGTGGGATATTATAATGTTTCGAATTATAGCACGAACTAAGAGTCCCAGAGATAACGCAATTGAATTAAGAAGTAAGACACAAGCACAAGCGAATGTACTGCATTTGGAGTTCGAAATCGTGCATTCAATAATCAATAATTACAAAGGTATCATTAGTTCATTCAAACATCACAGAGATGCATCAAATATGCTAGTGAAGTTGATTGGGGAGTTTACCTAGGAGCAGAGGGTGGGATTACTCTCTGATGGAAACAGTATGGGGGAAACGAGTTTATGTTTTGCATGTGGTTGGAAATAACTTGGATTATATGCTTCAACATAGGTGTCACTAGGGGCCGTATTCCAAAACATTCTTGTGCAGGCCCACCGTGAAATGCACGGTTATTTACAAAATAGTCTTGGTGGTTAAGCTCGCAGCCTCTGTTATAGCTATTAACGTTAGCGTGAGGAGGGTATGCTGCGGGTAACTGAAAGGAGTCACGACTGTTATTTTACATGGTAGGTTGGTACTAGGAGGTGTGGAAAGTTTTCTTTCTGAGGGTAATTACAATTGTGATCCTGGGGAACGTAGATAGGGTGTGGGGTGAGAAACCCATTATTACTATTCTTAATAGTGGTTTTAGGCTTTAGTGGGTGACTGGAGTGATCAGTACTCTGGTGGTTTTTGTTAGCCTGCGTGTGAAAAGGCTTGTTACGTCGAAGCCCACCACCCATTTTGCAACTTAAGGGTGTTGACGGCAAGTTATATGATATCAACGGGAAAAACCTGTTTACTGTTGTTGGGATACCTATAAAGCAGTTGGGTTCAATCTTACGTGTTTCCTTATTCGGCATCGTGAGTCTTGTCTTCCCACCCTTTTGTCAGAGGTGGAGTCTTTCGTTGTCTCTGTAAGGTGAATTTAGGTTCTTTTGAGTCAAATTGTGGAGTATCTTTAGGAGGACTGATTTTCAAGTGTATAGGTTTAGTTGGGTGCGTGTTGTCACACGACTCACATCTTATTACTTTACTGAGCGAACAGCCAGGATTTGACACGCCGTTGTGCTTTTTGGTGACAGCTGCGGTCCGTATCTTATCCAAAAGTTTCTGATCAGCAGATTCATCTAGATCAGCAGAGTGATCAGCCGTTTGTGGAGTGATGTCATGCTTATCGTTCATGTGCTTTAATCCATTTACTGTGTCGCGAACTTTCTCTAGCCAGTTATTTACTGTAACACTACCATCCAATCATATAGTTTCACGTCTTCTTACACGAAGTTGACAGGGCGTAAGGTCTGAAGTGACTTACATATTTTTGTATGGAATTACTGAGCTAATATTTTTGCCCAAATCAACAAACTGTTTTGCATCGTTACAACAGCCTGACATAAACAGGTACGGGCATGTTGAGATGTCTAACTTTTTTCTAAGGCGGATGGCTTTGTAGTTAACGCTCAGGATACTGCATGCTCTAAGGCAAATATCTCTTAACTTAGATAGGTGTGTGCGGTCAGGGAGGTCATACGCAACTACAATGAAGGAGGACATCACTCTTTTCGTCACTTCTTCAGCCACAAACTCCAAAATACCCTCAGCTTTGGTGAGTTGCTCAGGATTTCTATCAGTGTCAAGGCCCCATATATATGTGAGGGGTGCTCAAGTTTGCCGGTAATTTCGGAGAGTTTTTTAGCTGACGGATGTCAGTACTATATCTATCAGTATTTTCGTGTGTATGAGATGAACTATTGGACTCTGGTTTTTGAAATTTTAGATTTAGGCCTTGGTGGAACAAACTGTCTGGTAGAATGTGCTGACTTTTCAATGCACGTGGGTATAGTGTCTTGTATATCAACCAGTCTTACCGTTGGCATACTGCGCGCAAAGATAGAGAAGTTATAACATGGAGAATCAGGTGATGATAGTGATATTTGTGGACAATACGCATGTTGTTCAGTAGATAATGGTTCGACATTGTCAGGTTCTGAGTCATCAGTCATAGAGGTTACAGATTTGGACCCTTTGTTTGGCTTAGAATTCGGTGAACTTTCTCTTCCGCCGAAGTCGTTGGCCATGATTTGGAACTGGGTGAGTACAGAGCTCGTTAAACTAAATATAATATCCGAGCGTTAGTTGTTTTTAAATATTAACCTGGTTAATAAAAGGATCAGAGACTATGAGTATATGATAAATTTCAAAGCTATTTAAGACTTAAGTATAATATGAACCGGCAAGTTTCCGTCAAAAATCTTTTTCATGGTAAAATGTACTCAATGTACAAGATAGGATGATCATCTCCTTATAATACACCCTTCTGAGCTTATTGTGTGTCCAAGAAATTTTAACGTAAGTTTACTCCATGTTCATATAGTTTTTCGTTGCTCACATGTGTTATTCATGTGAACTTAATTCTGGATTGCAAGTTAACAAATCATTTATATACTTCTGTGCAAAAGACATCTCGAAGTAGGTTGTCTACAAAACTTTGAAATGTTTATGCTTCGTTCCTCAGGTCGAATTACGTGCTTAAAAACTTGATCAGTCCGAACGGTGTAGTAGAATTCGTCCTAGTGATACTCTCTCAAGTTACTAGGATACTGAGACATACATGTTCGCGTCCTTTAAATCATTAATAATGTGTTGGACATGAGGTATTTCGCACCTATATGTCACGGTTTGACAGCTGAGGGATCTACAATCCCTACACGATCACCGGTCACTTGTTCTTCTTTGGCGCCATGTGCACAGAGGTTGCCAATTGGCTATCAAATTGACGGATGATAAACAACTGTAGCACGCAGTAGGAGTAAGCTCTAGTGATTTTAAGTTTGTCTGCTGCCAGTCTCGTAGGTTTAACAAACACAGATGAGCCTTCAGTTTTGGTTGTACGACTTACTCCTAGATCACTTTCAGGAGGATGAGCGTTGGATCTGGCTCGGTTCCACGAGTACATCTTGAGACTTGGCAGTTGTTACTGAAGGAGTCCGTACCATATTTACAGGAGTGGTGTGAATTTCTTTCCCTTTTGTTGACTGTAGATTTCTTTGGGTGTCGAATTTCGTTTCCCAGTGTCGACTAGAAGCTCACACCTCTTTAAAAGGTGGACGGTAATTTCTCAGAATAAAAACCTGTCGAAGGTGGATTGGCTCATGGGTTAATCTTTGATTGCCTTCTATCCCTTCCTTACGTTAACGAATTATAGAGAATGCTTGGAGCGTTGTTACCTTTGTCCGTAGGTAGTAAAAATGTATGGAGAGAGGCACATAATGGCAGTGACAGTATAGTGCTACAAAGTGATCTGGACAATTAGGCTTGATGAATATGCATTAGGCGACATAATTCGTTGGTTGTACTAGGTCCATTGATTTACAAGTTTTAATATTGAGACTGGGGACTAAATAAATAGCATACATGTTTGACAATCGATACGAAAACATTTTAATCTTATGAACAAATCATTCTTTCGTCCCACTCGCTTCTTTTATTTAACTGTTGTCCATGAATTTTTGAGAGAGCGCATTTGAACGCTAAGGGAAAAAATGGGGAATGAAGCTTCTCTTCCAGATCTTTGCTCTACATTTGACGTTGAGGAAATAAAACGTTTGGCCAAACGATTTAAAAAACTAGATCTTGATGGTTCTGGATCTTTAAGTGTAAAAGAGTTCATGAGTCTTCCTGAACTTCAACAAAACCCTCTAGTTGCAAGGGTTATCGAGATTTTTGATACGGATGGCAATGGAGAAGTTGACTTCAAGGAATTCATAGATGGAATGTCACAGTTTAGTGTAAAGGGTGAGAAGGAAGCAAAGTTAAAATTCGCGTTTAAAATATACGACATGGACAAAGATGGATACATTAGTAATGGCGAATTATTTCAGGTTAGACTACTTTTCCTACTGTGGAAGGTACTTTATCATGCTAAGGTTCAAATACATGCACTAATCTTTTTCAAACATCGCTAGTTTGACGATGACGAGTGTGTTTGAACACTTCCCTACATATTTACTCTCTTCCCGACCGTTGTTGCTACCTTGACGTGGTGGTCGGGCTTGCCTATCGTGATGAAGCAAACGAGCTATACTGGCTGGAACAACCGTTCCCCAAGGTCCTACCATGTCAGACAGGTCCGTTAAAGAGCGGTAAGACTAAAAGCAACAAAACCAAGGTTCGAAGGCGAAGTCGTACTGCTGACTGTACAGAGGTGTGACAGCAGTAAGGTGTTTCCTTCAGACAACCAGCATGACAGTGATGCTGCCTTCCCACAAGGAGGGGTGGGGTTAGAAAAGGTCGACCCCAAAAATGCACACCTCACCTTACCTCACGGGTTTCTGTCTCCGGCGGTAAGGCCCTTTGAAGAACGGAGCTAACACGTCAAAAACCTCCCACGAAAAGGCCGTGCGCGACCGGCCTCAAACAGTTGTCCCTTGTGCACTGCGGTCTCGCTCTCAGGTCACTGAGATCGCCTCTAATCCAATTTCCTTTTCAGGTACCGCCAGAAGAACCCTTCCACGGTGTGGGCAACCGGGAAGTGATAACCGCCCTCATACCTCTAACAGCACCCAAGACCACTGTATTCATAATCAACCTTCCTCTTCAATTCCTATTATTCCTCCTACATCGACTTTCAACCCTAAACTTCCTCCTTCGGCTTCCTCCTCAAGTGTCACCATAGCCAACGATTCTAGTGCTCAAAACACTGTTCCAGGTCTACTGAAACCTCGCTTCAAAATACACATTGAAGCCTTCAACATACGCAACCTGTGTCAAATCAGTCAGCTGACTTTCTTGGCTAAAACCCTAGAATCTCGTACCATTGATGTATGCTGTGTCTCCAAAACACACATACAGGATCCTAGTGTGGTCATTCACTTGACCTCACATCGACAAAAAGGGAAAGCCGATGAGATACACCCTCCGTGTATCTGGCGACTCGATGATTAGTTCTCGTGGACTGGCAGGTGTAGGCATAGCACTAAGCATGAGGGCGGAACAAGCACTGTTAGAGTGGATCCCCGTCAACAGTCGTCGATGTGCTGTTCGACTAAACGGCTCCGTAAGAACTCGGAAGGATAGGGACACACGTCGTTGCCTTTTCGTCGTTTCTGCCTACGCTCCCACTGACTGCAGCTCGGATGATGTGAAAGATGAATTTTACAGAAAGCTTTCTGAACTTCTTCAGAAAGCTAAACGCTCAGACATAGTACTCATAGGGGGTGACTTTAATGCTCAGATAGGTAGCTTAAACCAAACAGAAAGGCATTTAGGTGGATATTTTAGCATTCCGGCACAGCGAACAGATAATGGTGACCGTCTGCTGCAACTGTGCTCAGACAATCGCTTATTTTTAGAAAACAAATTTTAAGCATAAGGAAAGACATCGTCTAACATGGCGACCCCCTACACCAAACCAACGATGAACTCAAATAGACCATATTGCCATCAGTCATCGTTGAAGAGGGTTGGTAGAAGATTGTCGCTCATTCTGGAGTACCTGCTTGGACTCCGACCACGCCCTAATACGGGCACGCATCTGCTTGCGCCTCACTGGACGCAAAAAAGCCACAGTAAAAAGACCCATTAGAACCGAACTGAGTAGCGAGGAAACCAAAAGTAGGTTCCAGGAACAACTGAGGTCACGACTAGGTAGTTCTGAAGATGAGGATGACCCAGTTGTTGCTTGGAAAGCCATACAAACAGCTGTGGAAACAGCAGTGACATCTATCAGTGATTTAAACCACAGGGTTACAAAGAACCAATGGATTTCCTCAAGGTCGATTGCATTGATGGGTTCTCGTAAACTCATCCCATCAGGCTCTGGACACGATGAAGAGCGACAACAAATCAGATCTAGGTTAAGAAAACGTCTAAGGAACGACTGTGAGCAGTGGTGGGTAACGAAAGCAAAAGAGATGGAAAAGGCGGCGACTATAGGGAACACAAGACAGCTTTACAGACTAATAAAAGAAACTGGAATTAATAAGTCAAGTGTAAGTCAGACTATTTCGGAAAAAGACGACCTCATCTGCTGTCAGTCCAGACGTTTAGAACGATGGGCGGAACATTTTAGAGAACAGTTCAACTGGCCTTCAGCTACTCTACAACTACCCTCCATTCCTAGACAGTGTGAATGGAACATTGAAGTAGGTTTCCCAACTCTAGTAGAAGTTCAAAAGCCTATAGTTAGTCTGAAACGAGGAAGGGCAGATGGACTGGCTCCAGAGGTCTTTAAGGATGGTGGTCCAATTTTAGCGATTAGGTTGACTAATATTTTAGCTAAGATCTGGGAGTTAGACGTTATCCCATCTAACTGGTCACAATCACTTATCGTCCCAATATATAAGAAAGGGTCAAAATCATCCTGTGACAACCACAGAGGGGTTAGTTTAACTAATATAATATCTAAAATACTAGCTTCGATAATTATCAGACGCCTAACTAAGACTCGTGAACTGCAAACACGAGAGACTCAAGCTGGCTTCAGACCTGGTCGTGGCTGCATCGACCACATATTCACCATTCGTCAGGTTCTAGAACACAGGCATACTTATCGACGTCCGACAGTAGTGATCTTTCTTGACTTAATAGCAGCATTTGACTCTGTAGACCGCGAGATTCTGTGGCAGTGTCTGTCATTGAAAGGCGTACCACAGAAGTACATAAACCTTGTAAAGGCTCTTTACTCGAACACTACTAGTTGAGTGAGAGCTTATGGCGAACTGTCATCTACTTTTGCAACCTCAAGTGGTGTCCGTCAAGGCTGTCCACTTTCCCCATTTTTGTTTAACTTCATCATAGATCTACTGATGGAAATAACTTTCGTCGACTGAGTTCTCGGGTATTGATCTCCATCCAGGAGATCCACTTATCGACTTAGAATACGCAGGTGACATAGTCCTGTTTAGTGAAGACGCTGACAAAATGCAGAGTCTTCTGGTAGCACTGAGCAACAATGCCAGGATGTTTGGAATGCGCTTCCCTCCCTCTAAATGCAAGTTGTTGCTTCAGGACTGGTCTGCGTCAACACCTGAACTAAGGATAGGGAATGAATTAGTCGAACACGTTGACAACTTCACTTATCTTGGAAGTCTGATCAGCCCTAATGGGTTGGTGTCTGACGAAATCTCAGCACGGATTCGAAAAGCTCGTTTGGCTTTTGCCAACTTACGTCACCTTTGGCGAAGGCGAGATATCCGTCTATCAATAAAAGGACGAGTATACTGCGCGGCAGTCCGTTCTGTTTTACTTTACGGCAGCGAAACATGGCCATTAAGAGTAGAAGACACTCGTAAGCTACTTGTATTTGACCACAGATGCCTTAGAAATATTGCTGGCGTCTGCTGGGATCACCGGGTAAGTGATAATGAGGTTAGACGCAGGGTATTAGGGAATGATGGTAAATCAGTTGATGAGGTTGTGAATCTTCATCGACTGAGATGGTTGGGCCACGTGTTACGTATGCCTGAACACTGATTACCACGATGCATAATGCTGACTAGTGTTGGAGACGGTTGGAAGAAAGTTAGGGGCGGCCAAACCAAAACGTGGCATCAGTGCTAGAAGTCACTAACTTCTAGTCTGAGCCATGTTGGTAGATGCAGACTACTTAGTTGGGGTCCGCGTGACTATCGTAACCAATGGTTGGAGACTCTTGGTGACATGACTCAGAATCGATCACAATAGCGTCGGTGTATACACTCCCTGTCTTCCCTTAAACTAAGAGATTAAAATCACTTCATATCTTTTCTTCTACGAACCAATTCTTTCTTCTTGTACTATATCTCTATATGCAATCTTTCTCCTATATATTACCACCTTTGACCTAACCACTGCTATGAATCCGGTGTTCATCTTGTTGTGCTGATGCGGTATGGCAACCTGGACCGATGCACATATGTGCCTGGTCCTACGTTGTAGCTGACTGACTGACTTACAACCATTCCTTTTGTAGCCCTAGAGGGTGTAAGTAATAGTCCCTAATCCATATGCAGCTTTGATATGCCAAAAAGTATTAATTCCTTTTCAGCCATTGCAAAGACCGAATGATCTTCTACATGAAGAAAACTCGGCGAGACTATAATTTACGGACGAACTATTCAGATTTAAGATGACAGGTTTCTGATTTTGGTGTGACATTCATTCACACAATTATCTAAGTAGCGTCCTTGCATTTTGGCTGATGCCATTTCGTGATGTAAACCATGAATCTAATTCCCTACTCTAACCATCAACTGTGAATCATAATCCTTAGTCTTCAGACTGCTCTATAACAATCATTTAGCCCTAGTAAGTAGGTGGACATTCTTAAGTTCAGTTTAGCGTCACTCAAAGGTCGTCCATAAATTATAGTCTCACCGAAAACCCTTAGGAGCTCATTAAACTCGAGAAATTCACATATTATAGCTTTAACCTGGTATTGTTGCGCTAGCCATTAGGTTTTTAAATACTTGACTCACCTTAAAACACTTCTGGAAAGTTTGTTGCCTCATTTGAGGACCAAATGTTAACAATTTATTTATTTTAACACATAGATATTGGTACAAGGAGGCACCAAATACAGATGCGCCACACAAATCTCATTCGATATGTGTGAGGGCTGTGAGACTGCCAGGGTGCCCAAACCGAAGCAGGTGGTTTTCTTAGGGGGCCACTCCCCGAGCCTTCGACCCGAATGTCTGATCCACAAGGTAGTGGAGCATCGTAAGGAGATGCACTCCCATGGTAGCCCGTGTGCACCATTGGTTTGGGATCCGGTTAAAGCGCCGGACATTCGCTTTTCGTTCTCCCATTTTCGTAAACAACACCCCCGCCACGAGAAGGCGATGAGTAGGACTTCCTTGGCAGAGGCTATATACGCGTGGCCATGTGAGGGCATTTCGAGAGGGAGAGCGGACTCTCCCCACTCTCGGCCGTACCAGGGCATTTAAGGGCAAAATGTTAACAATAAATCCGCATAAAGTTCTCTAAACTGGGTTTTACGAGTCATGCTACAGACCTGTCGCTCCAGTTTCAGTCTAGTAGAGACAAGTGGCTGGTCGGTTTGAATTGGTCCTGGGATTGGTGTTCCCTTGTTTGATCTTCCTCTTAAATGTGTCGATAGGAGGAGCTTCAATCACGTCGAATTTATTAGTTCCATTCATTAGTGATTCTATCAAAAGGCTGACAGTCAGCTGACAAGTAAATCGTTCTGGGCTTGTGAACTTCTTTGAAGTATTGCGAATTCTTTGTTTTAAATTTCAAGAAAAAGCAAAGCATATCAGATGCTGACTTATCACCTAGTAACCTAAAAATCGATTTAATCACATCTGGCCCTTATATATGGCAAGGAAAATAGATTTAATTTAGACCTCTCACTATACAGCGGTCTTCCAATTCGGAGAATCAGATTAGTTGCGGCTCTTTAAACCACTCACAGCAGCTCATTATCTTTTTGGACAGGGAACAGCTTCTTGTATGCAATACTCGAGTTTAGGACGAACAAACACTGTATACAGAGTCTAAAAAGTCTTGGCATAGGCAAAACTAAGGGTTCTATGTATTAAACAAAGGGTTTTAAAACCTTTGGTGGCTATCACGTGTCCGTGTGCAGTAGCTTTCAAGTCTTAGTTAACGACGACTTCTGGGAGAGGTAGCTCAATGTTATTCATCATGTATGTGTCTGTAGCCTGGTGGCCAATATGCAATATAATGCATTTGGAAGCATTCGTCAGCGGTTGTCAAATTCCAGACTATTCAGGTAATTTTTGCAGGTAGTTTTGAAGTTCCAAACTGTGATATCCCTTTATCATCACACTCCATGTCTTAGTATCGTCAGTATATGATAAAGCGAATGATGATTTGACACTGCGGTTCATTTACATATTAAAGGGACGATACTAGCCCTAAAAATATCCCCTTCACCGCTCCACTGATCACATTTTTCCAGCAAGACAGCTTGGAGCTAACCCGTACTACTTGCTAACGTCCAACTGAGAGATCCTTTATCTACATAATTAAGTCGCCACCAATCCCAATACCACTTGACGTAGATAGCAATCTTTTGTATGGAATTCTGTTGAAAGCCTTATTAAAGTCAATAAAGGCTACGTCTATAGATAACTTTTGGTCTTCAAGACTATATCAGCTTTCATGAGCTACTAACATGTTCGTGAGAGATGAATAACCTGTTCTGAAACAGTGCTGCTTTCCAGAAAGAATTCAACCTCCAATTAGATGCGTAAAAAACTGACGAATAATTTTCTCCAAACTCTTAACAACTATGCTGGTTAGGCTAATGGGTCGATAGTTTGTCTCGTACCTGTTTTGAAGACAACTTACTACGGCGTTCTCCCAGTCTTTTGGTAATCTGCCTTGAGTTACAAATAGGCCGAAACACATGCTCAAGAGATTTGCGATAAAATTGCTAGTTCCTTTAGTAATCTAGGACGCATTTCTCAGGTCACATGAATTTAGCCATATCAAGCTTATTTAACAGACCAAATACATCAAGTTCTTTAATGGCCACTATGTGCAGTGTGTATAGAAGGATGTGTACAGACTGAATGGAAGGGCGTTTCTAAAGTATATAAAACACTAGAGTGGTTAGAGGATACCTGAGGTTTATCCTAATCGTTTCCCACTGGTGTGCTATCTTCACATAATGCTGGGTTACCTCCTCTTTTCGTAGTCCTTATGTTTCTGTACGAATATATAAGCGTTCCGGGTATGCTGTAAACCTTTTAACAAGGTTTTCTTTGTACAATCTTCTAGATTTTGTATGGGGTTAAGGCATATATTTCGGGCTTCCCTATATTGAGAGTTTGTCTTATCAGTACTCAGGAACTTAAATCCCATATCCAATAACATTTCGCAAATTCTGGACGTCAGGTGACGTTTTCTAAAATTATGGAACGCTCCATCGGCTGAAAATGAACACAAGTTAACATTTGCATCGGCACTTTTTCATACAGTGATTTGTATTTCAACTTAATCCGAACAAGTCAATATCATCCCGCTAAATCAATTAGCTAGTGGTAGTCATTTATATCTCGTCTATGCTTATCATTTATTAAAAGTTTATTAATGAAATTAACACATGCGGTTTTAAATCATTCGGTTAATAAGCTGTATGACAGAAGATAATGAAGGAGTGGTATTAAAACCAGTCGTAAGTAGGTCACGAGGGTACAGCAAAGAATGTTTGACGTATAGATTAGTGTGTCAAATAACGTTACAGAAGAGTGGAGGGAACAGAGAGCGCTGACAGACATCACTTGATGTTATCAGTTCAGATGACGGTTCACTATGAACTCTGACTCGTCTAGTAGCGCTCGAGTGGAGAGTTTATACCAGGTTGATGTAATTCCTTACTGCGCCTCAGTAACAGACACTTCCACAAAATTTGTCGATCTTCAGTTGAATGATGCCTTACTATTCAGAAACAAAACTATATTTAAGAGTTGATAGGTATAACTATACTCGTATTCTGCTGAGTGGTTTTCTGAAAGACCGCGATGCTTTCCAGTAAAATTTCAAATTCAACGCGTGTTAGATGATTTCACCAAGAATGGTGAGACCTGAAAGTCTTAGTTTAAGTTAGACGTAATTGACATCAGATTCTGATATGAACAACCGATAAGCTACCTAGCATACTTTTTCCGCTGCAGTTCGAACCTACATCTTACATCACTAACCTGTCACAGCGCGGGTGTATGCAGAGCATTCGGAATTGCATTCATATCTTAGTGTGTCTTATGCTCATTTCGTTTTGGTGGTCGACAGATTTGTTAGTCTAAATTGTTGGACCTAAACTGAATGGTTCTTTGAAATCAGGCTGGATTCATGTTCACTATGATTGTCAACTGCGTTTGAAGGATAACACCCAATAAAGTGCACCACAACAGCCTATTTTTGCTACTCTTAAAAAGACACATTGAATATCCTGACAATGCACTCCTATTGCGCAACTACTTACAGGTTTCCCAAACCATAACCGTTCAGCTGGTGGTCGAAGCCTTCTGTAGGAATTTATGCTTTGCACTAAAAAATGTAGTAAACTATGTTTGCCAAAAACAGGAAAGTATAAACCAGTCGGTTTTTTAAATCATCATGAGACTCATTTAATTTTAAGAGCCAATAATGCTCTGATTTGTTTCTGATCTTAGCAGGTTCTACATATGTAAAAGTCGGAAATGCTTATACGAGCATTGGGTTGTCATAATAAGGTAATTAGTCCTTACACCCACTCACTATATTTCGCCTCCGTTTTATTCATGAAGTATAGTTTCTTGAATGGATATGAGCTTTTGCTGAAACTTATGTTGATTTTACTTGCTTTTAGATGTGTTGTTTGTTCCTAGTTATTTATATTCTTAGTGATTTGAACTTCACCTAATTTACTAGGATTCTGTGTTCGCGTAACTGGTTTCTTCATACTTCCAGTTTGTATTCTACTTGACCTGGCCTTTACTTTTCATTATCTTCTAGGTTTTGAAAATGATGGTTGGAAATAACTTAAAAGATACTCAATTACAACAAATAGTGGATAAAACTATCATGTTTGCTGACAAAGACGGTGATGGTCGGATTTCATTTGAGGAGTTTTGTGAAGTTGTTAGCGGTCTTGATGTGCACAAGAAAATGGTAGTTGATGTTTGATATGTTTTAGTAGTAAGTATGCCAATAAAAATTGTATAGTTTCTATTCACTGACTTGGATAACTGTTAGTAAATTTCACTTTTTGTATGTCTCTTTATTAAACTTGGATTATAGAGGCTTACGCTTTACAAACGACAACTATACTGTCTGTGAAAAGTTTATTCACTTGTTTAGACACTGCTCATAAGATTTGTCTTTCATTGTGTTTCTTGATTTTATTTTTATTTCTTTCAAATGTATTTTATTTCAAAGGTCTCATACCGCTAACTTGTTTAGATGAGATAACCTCGTCTCTTCTTAAAAGTCGATGTATGAATACGCACACGTCAACTTAGTTACATCATTCGTTTTTACTGTTGTTACTCATGTCGCTGTTACTGCTTTAATTTTGCTAATCTTTGTTGTCCTAAACCACTAATATTAATAGAATTCGAGGATCGCTTCAGTTTTCAATGTTCTGTGCTTTCCCATTTTTCTTTCTGTATTGTCTCGACTTTCAGTTTATCACTTAGTCGTCTCTAGCGCCTATGTTTTAAAATCACTGTGGATTTACATCATGCTCAAATTTTTTTGAATGGTGCATGAATATTTCATTTTATTTCAGAAATAAGCTTGTCACACGAGTGACAGTTATTATATTTCCTTTGCCTAATTTATTTCTCATACCTATTTTTTGTGTTTTGAATAAAAGATCCATGGTTTGAATGACAGTTTGGGGATTTACCTAAACCAGTTACCTATCAATAGTGAAACCTTGTGTATGACTCCCTATATCGTATTTAGTTCAGTCGGGTGACTAGCTTCTAAACAAATGCGAAATCCCATCAAAATTGGTCTTTAAACATTTCTATACATTATGTATGGTAAATGATCCTTAGGACCTCTGTAGTCTACATATACATGGGTACTCTGGTCTGCACCAATCTCTTTCTAAGTTCTCTCCGTATTTTGATTTCAGTGTTTGTAATATTTAGTATACCATAATCACGTGATTACAGATTCTCAGTGGAAGCTAGTTGCACAGTTGGATTCTTTCCAGTACCTCGGGTTGAAAATTTGTCTTAAGGATTTTTAACAGATTAAAACATTAAAGTTCCAAGTTTCCCGGTAAGCCAGTCAGCATAATTCAAATAAAATTGTGATTTTTTAATAACTAGTAATCAGTAGTCTAACAATCTTGAGATTGTGGTACTGTAAACAAACAAGTCCAGTATTGTTTTTCGTTAGCAGAATCGTTTTATACTTGGAGAAAACTTTACATTTTGTTCTAAGGCAATTCCTCGTAAGCTCAAGTTCATAACGTTTAAGAGATTCACATATGAAGCAACCTAATAAACTCATCTGAAACGAAAAATGGATTGGAACAAATATGATTTGTTGAAACTAAGTTCCTTGAAATCATTCTATTTTATAGTGATCCTTGAGCTTGACAAATATAGACTGTGAATAGGAGCATCTTATGATAAGTTTATGGATTATATATATATATATATATATATATATATATATATATATATATATATATATATATATATATATATATATCCGTTATGCGAACATTTAGTGTACAGTGATAGAAAGGCATGTTAACCTGTTTTATTCTGCATCGAAGTGTTTCTCTGCATTATATAAAGTTACATTATGTTGTCTTCGTAAATGTACAGGGAGCAAATATTAAACGATACTACAGGATAAACTGAGTTCATAAGGCAACATTAATATGTATTTACCTATGGATTCAGACGTACAGTTTATTAACTATCTGGAAGATATTTCTCATTTCTTGGTTGCAAATTATTCCATACAGTCTAATCTTGAGCGATATACAATATTCTACCAATCACGTTCGCAATATCGTCCACTTAGTTAAATAATTTCACAACATCTTATTGATCATCTTCATATATCAATAGTAGTCTTGTCATACTAGGTATTTTTAACTATCAGCCGTAAATGCATCACTTCTCTAATTAATTCCCATTTTGAATAATTTAATGAATATCGTGGAAAGTGTTTTATGGCTTTGTTTTTACTTTCATATGATACTCATGAAAAGTTGTAGTATAAAAACGTATTCCCATTTCCAGTGTAGTAAAAACAGTGTGCACAAGCAGAGTACTATACCACATTATAGTTACTGAATCCTGTTATTTGTGGTCAATGATGGTTCATTAATAACACACATAACATTAACACAGCTATTATATCAAGTTAACAGATATAGACAGTGACAGTTAAAAACATAAGCAAATCATTTTGTCACGGATTGAAATATCAGTGATAACTATAACAAAAGTTTCGTTACTGTTAACAACAACTATATCCTCTTTTGGCCCCAGCTACTTCAACATAAAGATCTTGTCAGGAAAGATTCATTGGATAAAACCAAAGAAGTTTAAGATATATATCTAAATGCATTGAGAATCAAATTACTAATTATAAATGGAAGTTTATAAGTGGAATTCTCTATGAATAGTTTAATAAGACTAAAATGCACTGAATATTACTGAACAAAAATCACTTTAAACCTATATGCGAAATTAAAATTGATTTTCTACCCAACAGATGATATTTCGAAATGTAGCATCTAACATTTTCTTACAATGAAGTAATTTTTTTTAGTTTAAGACATTCGAATAAACTTTAAAAGGTGTCTAATAACGTTTTGTTCGAAGTAGACTGTGGCTAGTAGTGCCTTGTAACTAAGTGACTAATGAGGCTGATTATTAGTACTTTCATTGAAACTGAGAACTGATAGGCGTTACTTCGAACACCAAGACTATGTTCACTAAGTTAGTGGGTCGCATTAACCAGCTATTATTCAAACAGTACCAGGTGTTATCAAACCTTTTATTATTTCGTTAATTTTATAGTTTATATTAATAGGTGAATTGTTTACTGAGAACCTGCTGATGAGTCCCAGGTAGAAGAAAACACCAAAAGATAACGAAATTGTTGAGATTATTAATTATTTCACAGATTGATAAGTGTGAGATAAAACAATCACGATGGAGAAAATTTGGAATAGTTAAGATGATAAAACCGAATTTTTATTGATTGGTGATGTGGAATAATACTATCGACTGTTAGTTGCCTGTGATACCGGATGGTTATGGAAAACCACTAAATGAAATGATATTAAAGAACAACACTAACCACGAACATGGGTGAAGTAAGAAAGAGAATTAAGCTATGGGAAAAATGGTTCTTCACTTATTCAGAAATAATGATAAAATATCTTATGGAACTTGACCTTTTATCGCTTCGATTGTCCAATCTATCTACCAGATATGATTATAGCTGATTCCGTCATTTTATACCTTAAAAAGTATTTAGATGTGAGCTTTTTAATGATTTATAAGCGGATGACTATATTACTGGTGTATTATCTCAGTCAAAAGATAATACAATAAGCCTAGAAATTTCTATACATTGTGTTAAGTGCAATTAGGTTTACAATGTATTCTATCACTAGAAAATTTTAAAATTCACGGTGTTTTCTGTCTGGCCAAGCCCTTTATTGCCACTGTAGTAATCTCAGAACAATCATAAAAAAACAAGTATTTTTATGTCAGGTCAGTTTATGTCAACCTTTAGAAAGCACCAAATACCTGTTTCTCTTCACTACATACATCTATAATATGATTAACTTATATAACTTAAGCTGAGTTGAAAAATACCTAATGTGTTTAGTTACAAAAATGCAGATTTATTCGGGCAAGTTGGTCTTCAATTAGATAACCTGATATTTAATCTCGCTTAAGTAACACATTTTATTTCCACGAAATTATGCCATTCACTAATCTCCGGTAACATATGCTTCATGATAATGAATACTGAAAAGAAGATGCGAACCTACATTTTGGACTTTCTGTACTCAAAATTTCAGAGTGACCAATGTTAACAAAAATTGAGATCTGTTTCTTCTAATGGTGTGCGTGCTTAATGACGAAGAACGGTTCTCGTCGAATGTTCAAACTCGATCCACTTTTGTTGCAGTTAGGTGGTTAATTTAATTAATCAACCCGTTTCTGGTTTCACTTACTTGGTTTTTGTAAAGTCGTAGCGAGATTACCTTGTCAGTGGTTCACTGAATATCAAGCAAGTTAGGGAAGTAGGAATTGTTATACCCTAGTGAAGATTAAATTACGCGTAACTTCTGAGAACTACCAATGGACTAATATTCTGTATATCTATATTCCTCTTATTATGAGCTTTATTTTGACCTATAGATTGTTATTATACGATTTATTGTTCTTATATTCAGTTTATTGATTACAATCTCCCACATTCAGTCACTTTTCGGCTTGATATTGTTTAAAATGTTTTTTTTCCTATTTTATGGTGTGATGCGGTCTTTTTGGCTAGTATATAAACCAAGTATGTTTGAAATAAACGATTCGCATATTGGAAGTTGTTATTGGCGTTTTGGACTCAAGTGAACCGGCTAGGAGAACAAGGGACCAGTAAGGACACTAGGCTGCTCATGTCGGTCGAACATCATTGGATTAGCACAGTACAAAGATTGTTAAGTCGTATTTTGATTGGTGAATAAATCACGTGATAACTAGCTCGCGTTAAAGACACAACAGGAATACTAAATTAAAAATTGATTTACACTCGTGACTTCCTCATGTCATTGTTTTATAACTTCGTCTCCTTAGCTCTGGCGAACTTATTAATAAAGAACTTTTTAGGCTATGGTAAATTTTTCTCTGGTAGTGTTTATGGTTGCAAGAAAGATTTCGAAAGAAAGCTTAGTCGTGAATAATTTTTCACTCGGATTAATCAGGGTTTGTATCTGTATTTCTATAACGGTAAGGTCGAAGGCTTGTTATATGCACTGTCAAAACTAACACACTTTCTAGAACGATTAAATTGGAAAACGTTCTTGATCTCTATAAACTGCTTATTGGTTGAGAGGTAGATTACTAATAGCAAGGTTATTTTGATGTATATATATATATATATATATATATATATATATATATATATATATATATATATATATATATATATATAACTGTTTGAGCGATGGCAGTAATAAGAAGCCAAATACGGGTTGAGTTGGATGAATGGAGCGAAGAAATTTCTTTTCAATTAGTTTTTCATCATGGCTCTACACTAATATATATACGTTTTGCAATAATAATATAATACTCATCGAGTGGATACGTTACGTAATAATTACATAATGACATTTAAATTAACATTGATTAATTGGAAGAAAGAGGATTATTAATATTCAAAGTGATCAAGAAGTTGCTAAGTTGCGTAATGTAAGAAACAAAGAAGGAACAGAATTTTAACGGATGGTCAATAGGATGGTAGTTACGTAAGAATCAAGAGATGAATGTTGAGAAGTTATCAAGTTCAAAAGCAACAGAAATAAAATTACAAAAGTTTAAAAAAAATTACAAAAGTTTAAAAAAATTAAAAAAAATGGAAGTATGAGAAATAGTTCTTTTGAAGGAAATCTTAAACTGATGGCCAGGGCAGGGAAAGTGGTTGTACGAATCTCTTTTGTATGCAAAGGTCAGGTTTGTGAACATGGATTGCGATGGCTTCCGCAATGTGCAAGAGGCGCACTCGTAAACCATGTGGCAAATTAGATGGGATATTGTAGATAACCTTAAAAGCTTTATTCAATTCGACTTGATGACCTGTGTCAACCAAGTGAGAGAGAATAGAACTTTTAATCACTTTTACTTGTCCTTTGTTTAACCACGACGGATGATGTTCTGTAATGCGATGACGGACTTGCCTAATTGTACGCCCAATATAACTGGCTGCACAGGAGCATTTGAAACGATAGATACACATAGATTTGGCGAATTCAGGCAGTCTGTCTTTGTTGGCTGTTCTTATCTTAGGATAGTTGTAGAAGATTGCATTTAGTCTGACAGCATTAAATGTTTTTTGTACGGCTCTTCATAGTTTCTGAGTTAAGGTTTCTTCAGTGGTGTCATTTATGAATTGTAGTTTTATGAATAGTACCTTCTTATGGACGGTGGGTATCTTTGTCCTTGTTTTCTTCTCCATCATATGTTTGTCGATGAATTTCATGGGATACCCATTCATGCTAAGTAGGTTCCGAATATTATTCAATTCTTCTTCGATGGTGTCTTCAGAGCAAATCATTCTAGCCCGATGTGTCAAGATTTTTATCAAGTTCCTTTTGTATCTGATTGGAACTGCACTATAGAAATGAGTGTATTGTCCTGCTGCAGATTTTCTGTGTACCCCTCTTTTTAAAGTTCCGTCTGCTCTTCTTTTTAGTTGGACATCTAGAAATGATATGCTGTCGTTCTGTTCATATTCTGATGTAAAATTAATTGATGGATGAAAGTTATTAAATGTATTAAGTAAATTGTCCTTATCATTCTCTTTTTCTAGTACTATGAAGGTGTCGTCTATATAGCGATAATAAGTTGGTAAATGGCTAATTATGCTTTTAAGTGGTCCGTTTTCCAGTTTTGCAAGGAAAATATCAGCCAGTAGAGGGACCAATGGTGATCCCATGGCAATTCCATCTAGCTGTCTATAGTATTCATTGTCAAATCTGAATTGTGCATTCATTGTGCATCTGAGAATTAACTGTTTTATCGCGGATGCTGGAATCGGGGTTTCTATGCGTCTCTCTGTTAGTTCATTGCAAATAAAATCAACTGTTTCTTGTAGTGGAATGTTAGTGAATAAAGATGATACATCAAGTGATAACATGAAATTATTCTTGAATTTTGTTTCAGGTACTCGTCTATTCAGATAGATATTAAGAACGGAAGCGAAGGAGAATATGCCAACTCTATTTAATAAAGGGTGACAATATTTATAACGAGATAAAAATAAGCTAAAGGTGTGTGATGAACAGGGTATGCGATCCATACAGACACTCTCATATTAAAACAATCAAGGTTATAAGCGAATAATTGACAAGGTTAAAGCATGACTATAGAACAACCAATATAGGGTTAGCATAGTACTGGACTCTACATCCTTCATATGGCAGGTTTTTTCTCCCGACAGTTGTCGTTTATTAAGGTACAGGGGTCAGTATTTTTTAAAAAGATTTATCGGTCAATGCAAACCTATTATCTAATCAACTTGATTACATCAATAAGTCGTATACTAGCAAATTTTTGTGGGTCAACGACAGTAACGTATTTAATGTTCATAAGAAATCTTAAATATGATTTTGGGTATAATGAAGCACATTTACATGGTCATATTGTAATCATGAGGTGTAAGTCCCCTTATAGAACGTTCTTATCTCCTAGGCTAATGGCGGTGCATACCCATATCCTAGCCATCGAACAAATTCCAGAAACTTCAGGTCTCTTGATGAGTGGTGTTATCTTCCACACCACTGAGTTAACAGTCGATAGTTCACATTTTTAACTGTAATGATTGTGCAAGATTGCAGAACCGTCATTAATCATTGCTATCGGCAGTACTTGTCTGTCACCCAACATGATTGAAATTCACTGGCCGTAGCTTCTCATCAAAACTTCGGAAATTCTTAGTCAGTCAACAGTGACTACATAGTAGTTCTTAGCATAGATAGTTCGTTAAGATTTTCCAGTTCATAACTTACACTACAGATTAATTTCGATTAGGCAATTTTTTGCTACCTTGTATGTTTGTGTGTGAACGCTCTGGTAGAGTCCTACGCTAAGAGGTAACATCTATCCATAAAAATAATACAGAACTGATATATTGCAAATAAAGAAATATAAGGCTTGGATAGTGTTATTTATGAATTAACTAAGTTTTATTATTTAAAAAAAGGTATTCCTTCAGTAGTTGCTTTTAGTGGTAATTCGATATGGTTCTCATTGTAAACTCACCTAGCCCACCAGTTATTTTTTATGGTTTAAATAATAATGGTCAGTTAATTCTAAAGGCGCTAGCCATACTAAAAGTAAAAGTTTTTAATAATTATCAGTGCCAACGTTTGACTTCATAGTTTCAAATAGATTGAGCACTGTGTAGAAAGTTAATACTAAATATATTTTTCGTTATATTTCAACGAGTAGAAAAATTGTACTTCTGACGTTTCGCGACTTCATGTTACCCAAATTGTTGTGACTTTGTGTCCGGCTTTTTATCATGTATTTATCCACCAATCAAAATACGACTTAACAATCTTTGTACTGTGCTAATCCAATGATGTTCGACCGGCATGAGCAGCCTAGCGTCCTTATTAGTCCTATGTCCGCCTAACCCGTCCACTTGAGTCCAGAACACCGATACCGGCTTCCACTATGCGAATCGAATCGTTTATTTCAGACATACTGTGTTTAAATATCAACCAAACAGACCGCAACGCACCATAAAATAGGAAATAATATTTGTACACAATAAAGCCAAAAAGTGGTTGTGAACGTGGGAGGCAGTAGCCAGTAAACTGAACATAGCTTAAGAACAGTAAATTGTACAGCAATAAATTATAAGTCAAAACAAAGCTTATACCAAGGGGAATATAGATATACATTATCTAGTTACTAAATATATATACCATGAGAATATATAAATAATATTAGTCCATTAATAGTTCTCAGACGTTACTCGTAATGCAATTATTATTATTATATTATTATTATTAATGGCTTTATTCAATATTATATTTTGGTACAATATAGAATTCTCAGCACAGGGTATTTCAACAAGTTACTTACTGAACAACGAACAAAAGGCAGTAGCGAATACATAAAGAAATATATAAAATAAAAATAAAATAAAAACCCAAAAGAAACTGCAAACTTTTAAAATTAAAGACTTGTTAAGAATGTAAATTATTGACTAGGTTAATTCTAACAACCTGTTCGTCACAGAATATATTTGCTAGGTAAGGTATTATAGAACTTTTATACTTTTCCTTGCGTGCAAGGATTTTAGTGTAATTACTTCTCGTTCTACCAGAAGATATACAAGGAGAAAGATAAGAGTGAAGGGGATGGCTAGTATCTGATAAAATAATACCTGCCAGGAGTTTGCATGATTTTAAATGTCTATGCACAACCATATTAATTATGACCTCGAAAGATTCACCACACGTCTTACTAACTGCCTTTAGCACTCTTCGCAATACAGAAAAGTCTTTTCTCAAAAGCCCGGGAAAGAATAATGGAGAACAGTAAAGAATAATAGGTAATATGCAAGAATTGACAAATTGTAAGAGAAAATGACGAGTAATTCCAAGAGCATGCAATCTCTTTATGTAGTAGGTCAGACGGAAAACCTTCTTTGATAACGATAAAACGTGGGAAGACCAAGACAGATCAGAGGAAAAGGTGACACCAAGATAATTGACCTTCGACACCGCGTTTATCAAAGAGTCTCCGATGGTACAAGTACTATGGGATCTCAAAATAGTGTTTATATTCCGTTCATGTCTCATACTAAAGTTAACAGCTTGACATTTAGACGGATTAAGTATGAGACCATTACCAACAGACCAACAATCAATACGAGACAAAAACTCATTCATTTCTATGGGATGTAAAGAGGAAGATATAGGCATACATACAGTGAGATCATCCGCATATTTCACAAAAGTGTTTACTGTGGAAGATGGCAGATCATGCAGAAAAAAAAGAGAAAAGAAGAGGTGAAAGAACAGCTCCTTGTGGTACACCTTCATGAGACTCTGAACACTTCCCTCCAAATACAGTATACTGTTCCCTTCCAGAGAGGTAGGAACATAGTGTGGTGTTTGAATTAACTAATGATTCTTTTGTACTGGTTGAATGCTCGATTTCGAATTCTAAATACAGTACATTCGTTGTGCCTGTGTCTTCTTAATTCAATTGCGTTAATCCTGGAATTCCTAGTTCATACGATAATTCGAATACTATATTGGCGTCGCGATGGAGCCTGCAATGGAAAAGCTAGATATTCATTCAACTCCTGAAGCTTTTGAGTGTAGGGCCAGTGAAATGTCACTGAGCCCTAGCCAAATCATCCGGCAGTTGGATCACTGAATGTCGAACAGATCGTCGCTCCCTGCCAAGGTCATGTACTACAAACGCGCATTAGTTAATCATACGCCATGGACTGGCCCATGCGACAGTGGTCTTACTTTCGCCTGTATCTACCTTAACTAATATATTTCTGTAATAACGTCCTTTGTGTTGTACAGTCTTCAAAGCATCTATAGTACCTTGTTACGTCAATGGGGGTAGTCCACGTAAGGTGCTGACCACGAGGTGTGACTTCGACGTTAGTTGGTTCGTCACACCATTCACGTCTAACTGGAGTAGGCCTCCAATCATTTCGACATAGATCATCTACGTTGGTGATCTACACTGGTGAGCAAGACTTCGAGTAACGCCACCTATCACTATAATCTTTATTATTGTATTCTATACTTATTCTTTTTCATTTGTATCATCGCCTATGTTAATCTATCACTGTGAACTTTCGTTGCTTCATGTCAATGTTGATTAGTATTTAAACTTAAATACTTAGTTCAATCGACAGAACTAACCAATCAACTACGATTATAATCGGCTATCGTGGTTCTTTAACAAGCATTAGCAGCATGTAAATGCTCCTGTGTAATATGTCTGTTAGAATATCAACCACTCGTGATTATAGCCACAAGGCAACACGAACGCACATCTGTTTGTAACTTATTCACTGGTATAAATAAGACAAGATTAACTATCGACTATAAATTCATCTTTCTGCTTAACCACTATCCACTAGAATGTTTTGCCTTTTTTTACCACTGCCTGCCTAATTTCCAATTGCTGAGTTCCATGGCCAAACAGAGGATACGAATGCTAGAAATTTACGGTGAGTTTGAACTATAAATTTCCTGCGATCTTAGATCTCATTTAGACTGTTCGTCAGGTAATGCTATGTATTCGGCTTACATTAATTCTGGACTTATACAAATTCAGTCTACAACGCTGTGTTAATCGAAAAATTTAATCAACAGTACCTCGTACATAATCCAGATTCAAACTACTGCCTACTTCATTACTTAAAGGCAAGATTAACCCAGGCGAGTTTCATAATTTCATTAGATTATTTCGTACTATATTTATGATGCGTGATAACATTTCGTAGTTGCTTTCACGTAAACTAGTCATATATTCTGTCACTGCCGTCAAGTTTTAGTCGAAATCATGTACATTTATGACTCGTTAGTCGATATACTGTGGTAAAACATATTGCATGTACACGAGCACGCTTAGTCCATGTCCCAAGTACACACGTTGTCGTACTTAATATGTCACTTAACGCTAGGTAATAAGCTCTTTGTATCAGCCTTTTACGAAATGGCCACGTTACCTGGACCCTCTAAACCTTAGTTACATTGGTGGTTACCATTTTAATTAATGTTTATTATACCCCTTGTATTTGCTATTAATTCACACGGTAAATCATGGCTCGATTTCTTTATTACACGACAGTCATTTTAATTCTATTTTCGGTTTATTTACATGCGATACGGGTTTGGAAAATATCTAAACGTCCTCGAAAATTCTCCACGAACCCAACCGTAGTTTTCGTATATGCTTTTATTCACACATCCAACAGTTACGCTAATAATACCTAAACGAACGTTCAGTGCAACTGTCAGTATACGTAAGAACGATGTTATTTAGACTTGACATTGTAACACATCTGAACTATTGTAGTTATTCTACTTCGATGTCGTACTTTATTTTATGAAGCATTGTTTCCTCGTGTCTGCTATTTAACAGATGATTTCGGTACATCAATCGGCTGTTCAACTACTCGACGATTTACAACCTGTCCAGTTCAATTGGTGGTCTGACGACAATATCATTCGCGCGAATCATCAGTTTATGCAGTCGAGCGAATCTCCTGCAAACTGAAAACGATATTGTCGCCTCTATCCCAACACTGACAGCGTTTTTCACGGGTATCATTGACATGAGTCCAGAGTGACACTCTTGGTTTCTTATGTTCTTTTCGATATTTTTCTGTTCACTAACCGAACAATCACGCAGCATTCACCGTTTATCATCTTTTAGAGACTTCATCGTGCCACCTTTGCTGTGGATTTGTAGCCTTCAACCCTTACTGGCTGTAACAGCAGTCATCGACTTTTCAAACTGTGACTACAAGTTGGTCAATAGCTTCGCACAACGAAATAACGACCACTCTTCACTGTTATACTTCTGTACTTACGGTTAGTCTGTTAGATATAGATATAACTAGAATTCGACACTAATTAATAGCTGTCAACGACACTGTCCGACTTACAACTTTAAACTAATGACAGTACAAATATGGATATCGATTGATAATACACTTATCCTACTATCGCTATAGCATCATTACTCTTGCGGCAGACTTAACGTTCGTCATCGGAGGAACTGAATTGCTTGTCAAAGCTATATATTTCAGCGCGACTTGATAGAACAGTTAAACGCTTTGTTCTTTTCATTATTTCTATGGTTAATCAATTTACGTTTAAGCAACGTCCTACTAACATATTATGACTCGCTGTTTCCCGACCAGTTTCTGCCGCCTCCTTTCCATTTGTTTTACAGATAAGCAATACCTGGAGAATTTATAATATTCGTTTGGCACTCTCCGGCGCGCGATTGCTCCCAACATGTTTGGTACCGATTCAAACGGCCGCTGAATCTGGTGGGGGAGTATTGTAGGGCCAGTGAAATGTCACTGAGCCCTAGCCAAATCATCCGGCAGTTGGATCACTGAATGTCGAACAGATCGTCGCTCCCTGCCAAGGTCATGTACTACAAACGCGCATTAGTTAATCATACGCCATGGACTGGCCCATGCGACAGTGGTCTTACTTTCGCCTGTATCTACCTTAACTAATATATTTCTGTAATAACGTCCTTTGTGTTGTACAGTCTTCAAAGCATCTATAGTACCTTGTTACGTCAATGGGGGTAGTCCACGTAAGGTGCTGACCACGAGGTGTGACTTCGACGTTAGTTGGTTCGTCACACCATTCACGTCTAACTGGAGTAGGCCTCCAATCATTTCGACATAGATCATCTACGTTGGTGATCTACATGAGGATTACTTGGAAAGGTTCGAAATCTGGAGCATGACCAAAGATGATGAGGATGTTAATATTGTGGCATACTTCCTCACATTCATTGGGAGAGAAGCGTACAGCTTATTAAAAACTTTGGCATATCCAGAAAAACCTATCTCACTGCCTTATGCAACTCTTAAAGAGCTATTGTTAAGTCATGTAAAATGCACCAGTTTTGAATGCCGTGAAAGGGCGAAGTTTCATAAGATGGTTCGTCAAAATGACCAAAAGGCTCGGGAATTCATCCTTGAATTACAGAAACAAGCTGCCAAGTGTAATTTCGGTGATCAACTTCATGTGCAATTGAGAGATCGATTAATTGCAGGAATTAACATACCGAGTTTGGAAAGAGAGCTGTTAAGAATGCCAAACTGTTCCTTTCAAGATGCTAGAACTGCATGTATTAACTACGAAGCAGTCAATGAACTTGATATCCAGTCGATGAATATTTCTAATAATTTGCTTAGTCGTCGTGATGAACTACAATCTCAGGGTCAATCAAACTTGCGTTCATTTAACAGTGATTCCTATTCCCGTGTAAATATGAAAGGTGTTTCAACGAGGAATTACAAAGCAAATCACAAAGGTGAGATGAAGTTTGGTAAATGTTTATCATGTGGAAAGTTTCATGCTCGCAATCCATGTGTATTTCGTAATGCTAAATGTTTTAAATGTGGTGAGATAGGACACATTCAGTCAGTATGCAAAGCTACTGTCCATTTTGCTTCAAGCTGTACTAAATCTTGTAATTTAAATTTCAATAATTCGGATGTTTCTAATGATCATTTATCAACGATTTCAAAAGATAGTGAAGAGTCATATGACAGTTCAGAGTTATATGAAATCCAGAATTCTTGTGAGACAACAGTTCCTAATCAACCGATTTATCAGAATTCTCATGCTATTGTACCAGGTATGACTTTTCCTAATGATTCACATATTTCTAATGAAATTACTTGCAATTCTGAGGAAAATATGTTAAATGAACCTAATCATGATCGAAAACCTGATGTGGTTTGGATAGATGTTGATTTTTCTAACGATCCTACGCTCTGCAATGACAGTCCTAATGAATTTCATGTGAATATTTCAGAAGAATCAAATCCTGATGTCATATTATATATTACCTATCCTCATAATGCATTTGATCCTTGTGAAAAACCTGCTCAATGCGAAGCACGAGTACAAAGTGACCTCGAGTTTTATTACATTTCGCATGATTTCATATCAACTGTTGTTTACCCTTATCACAAAAACAGTTCTAATGTTTACTCTGAACAATGTGAGAAATATGTTTTAAATGAAGCCACATTATTCATAACTTGGGGATATAAAGATCCAACATTATTTCGTGGGGGAGGATAGTGTTGAAAAATCTATGGTTCGAATTCTAGATATTAATGATTTCATTACAAAACCGACGTGCTGATTGTATACAATTCCAGGTGAGTCTGTTCCGATTCCGTTTGTTAATTCCAATACTAATGAGCACTTTCTAGATACTACAAAGTTTTTATCTTATACAATGTCGGACAGACTCAGGATGAACTTAACAAGAAGACGTACAACCGATTACAAACACTCATACTTCTATTTAAGCTGTGGCGGATGTGGTGTTTGAATTAACTTATGATTCTTTTGTACTGGTTGAATGCTCGATTTCGAATTCTAAATACAGTACATTCGTTGTGCCTGTGTCTTCTTAATTCAATTGCGTTAATCCTGGAATTCCTAGTTCATACGATAATTCGAATACTATACATAGCCAGTTGATTATCCAGCTGTCAGTGTTGACGCTGATTAACTTGTTAAGTAAACGTTGTCTTGGTATAGAATCAAAAGCTGAAGTATATTCCAGAAAAGCACATCGAACATACTTCTTACCCTTTTCTAAGTTGAACACTATGTTGTGATGCAGAACTGCAACAGCATCTAAGGTGCTTCTTTTGCATCTGTAAGCAAACTGATATGGATCAATATGCTCTTTTATCGCAGGCTGAATTGGAAGTGTTAATCATTTTTCCATTGTTTCGAGGAAGGGTGAAGTTATTGCAATAGGTCTAAATTTCACATTCTTATCACCAGATGCTTTTTTGGGTACAGGAATTATCTTCATCTTTCTCCACATTTCCGGTATGAGATTAGATGAGAAGGATCTGTTGAAGGTAGGTGTGAACGGATAACATAGGACGTCAGCACATTTTTTAAAATGGATATTTGGGATACCATCAGGTCGGAAACATCGAGATGAATTAAACGACTGGGGACATGTTCGTACATTAGTTTCAGTGAAAGTATGAACACAGATAGTTTTTAAACTTGTGGAAAGAGGGAGCATCACATCAGATGACTGACGTGCAAAAGACTTATTTAAGTCTCAAACATTCAGCTGGTTATCGCTCCCGAACTGTCTGTCACCTGTAAGTTTGATGATGTCACAGGTATTCAGTGTTTGACAACGCTTCTACCAGTAACACCTTCTAATATATTTCGTTCCCGCCCAGAGAAATCAAAAGACAGAGTCGAGGAGATCGGAAGAGTATATTTGGCGATGACCAATATATCGGAATTCTCTGATCTAATCTGGCTAGCGATTGCGGTTGATGTTGAGCACGGCGTTACCACACGTGATCTGGTGCGGATGACTGACCGAGCGCCTTCAGCTAGGTGAGTCCACTAAAACATATGGTCAGCATCCAATGTCGAAAACTTAGTGCTATTTATTTTGGGGATTTATTTACCGCTACAGATCACTCCCCCCCTAGTGGGGCAGTGACGACCCTAAGACGTGGCCAGCCAGAAGTTTAAACCCAACGAGTTTGTCGTTGGTAAACACTCTTCTGATAGCTTACTAAATTTAGCAGCGTCTGGTCGTCTTTCCTTACTATATGGGACGGAGGTACAACATAGTAAAAAAAGAAAATGTACATGGAAAATTTCGGATCCTCATAAACGTCATCGTTCTTTTCCAGCCGTCCTGGAAAAGAAAAAAGAAAATGTAAGTGCATGTCGAAATACACTCGTATGTGCGTCAAAGCACAATGTCGGCGGAAAAAAAAATGGAAAATAAACTCATGAACACGTAATAGCGTTAAAAAAATTGTTTTTTTGTTTTGTTTTTTTTTAAATAGAAATAAAAATATATAAGCATATTAAAATTGTTTTTTTTTTTAAAAAATAATATAAAATGTCGAGAAGTGCCTTACGTGCAATAGTCGTTTAGATGTTCTGGAAATCTCACCCTTCTTCCAGAACGCGTCGTTTTAAGTTTATTTTCGGATACTGTCGAAGTATCATCGTGTGTGTTGGTTGTCGGATGAGGTATTATAAGTGTCGGAGTCGTGTCGTTCAATTGTACCGAAGGAAAATCCACGTAGATAGGATTTCCTTCTAAATACGCTGCTTTTAAGCGATCGATACTGATGCTATCGTTGGTTCCGTTCTTATCGACTATATAGTACTTAGATTCACGTTGAAGAACTTTGAAGGGTCCTTCGTATGCTGATTCGAAGGGTCGTCGATGCGAGTCTCGACGAACGAAAACGTGTGTACTATATCGTAAGTCAGGTTGAACGAAAACATCAGTCGATTGAGGTCGGGTGGAAGCAGGTTTAACTGAACGCATTGCGTTTGTAAGCCTGTTCGTGTAGGAGGTTAGATCCATGTTCATTGAAGAGGATGAAGGATCCACGAATTCTCCTGGAAGTCGAAGTGTCGTACCATAAACGAGTTGAGACGCAGTGTATCCAATGTCAGCTTTCACTGCATTGCGGATACCTAGTAAGACGAGTGGAAGAGCGTCGGTCCACTGTGAAACGTTTGTAGCTGATAGCGAAGCTTTCAGTTGTCGGTGAAAACGTTCTACCAACCCGTTTGCTTGTGGATGGTAGGCGGTCGTTCGGAAGCGAGTGCTTCCTAAAAGAGTGGTCAGACGACGGAAAAGATCAGATTCAAATTGACGTCCGCGGTCTGTAGTGATGGTTGAAGGGCAGCCGAAATTTGCTACCCATCGTTCGACGAAGGTGCGGGCCACTGTTTCAGCAGTGATGTCCTTGATAGGTACTGCTTCTGGCCATCGAGTGAAACGGTCTACGCAGGTTAAGAGATAAGAGTATCCATTTGAATCTGGTAAAGGTCCTACCAAATCCAAATGAACATGGTCGAAACGAGCATCGGGAGTTTTAAACGAGCCTAAGGGACATTTATTGTGTCTTATAACCTTAGATTTTTGGCAGCTTACACAGGAGCGTGCCCACTCCCTCACGTCTTTATTCATTCCAGGCCAGCAAAACCTTTCTGCTATAAGCTTGATGGTTGCACGGGCACCTGGATGCGAAAGTTTGTGCAATGTGTTGAAGACATTGCGTCGATAATGTTTCGGCACGATTGGGCGATCCCTACCTGTAGATGTGTCACAAAGTAAGGTTTCCTTACCTGTTCCCATCTGTTTGATGCGTAGTTTAAGTGTTGTGGACGATAACTCGTGCCGAAGATCAGTGTCTTCTTTTTGAAGCTCGGCGAGTTTAAGAAGGTCGATTCCTTGGAAACTGTTCAAGGAAGTTATACGAGATAAAGCGTCTGCAACTACATTGTTTGCTCCAGAGACGTGTTGAATATCTGAAGTAAACTGCGAAATGTAGTCCAGTTGTCGAGACTCACGGGGAGAGTACTTGTCAGAAGGAGAGCTTAACGAGAAAGTAAGCGGTTTATGATCCGTAAAAAGAGTGAATTCACGACCTTCGATGTAGTGTTGAAATGCCGTACAGCACAATACATAGCTAGGAGTTCCCTACCGAATGTGCTGTACCTCGATTCGGTGTCTAGCAACCGTCTAGAGAAAAATGCCAAGGGTTGCCAGGAGTTGTTAACCCATTGTTGTAAGACTCCTCCGATTGCTGAGTCGGATGCGTCTACTGCGATGCTAATGGGTGCTCGGGTGTCCTGATGTGCGAGCATTGTTGCTTTAGCAATCAGTTCCTTAACTGTGGAGAATGCTTTTCGTGCGGTGTCGTCCAAATTAATGGATTTCGCATTTCCACGAAGTTGGTCGGTTAGAGGTTTCATGAGTAATGCGCATTTCGGTATGAAACGTCTATAGAAACTTACCAGGCCGTTAAACGTGCGTAATTGCTTGACGGTGGTCGGTTCTGGGTAATCCAGAATGGCCGCCACTTTGGTCCTAAGAGGTCGAATGCCTTGAGCATCGATAGTGTGTCCTAGGAAGTCTAACGAGTCGGTTCCGAATTGGCATTTCTGAACGTTTACAGTTATGCCATGTTTTTGAAGTCGTTCGAAAACAAGATCCAGATGCTTGAGATGTGTTTCTCTGTCCGGACTTGCGATTAGACAGTCATCAACATACGCGTGTACGAAGTTGAGACCTCGAAAAACGTCGTCTATGAATCTTTGGAATGTTTGAGCAGCATTCCTTAGACCGAAAGGCATACGCAAAAATTCATAGAGTCCGAAAGGAGTTATGATAGCTGTTTTCGGTATGTCGTCAGTAGCCATAGGGATTTGGTTATACGCTTTGACCAAGTCGATTTTCGAAAAGACAGTTGTACCTTTCAAGGTAGCTGTCAAATCGTGAATGTGAGGCAACGGGTAACGATCGGGAATGGTTTTCGCGTTCAATCGCCGATAGTCACCAGTTGGACGCCAATCGTTGCTGTCCTTTTTAGGGACCATGTGCAACGGAGATGCATATGGGCTACTTGACGGTCGTATGATTCCTAAGTCCATCATGTGATCGAATTCGTTTTTCGCTAACCTTAGCTTTTCAGGAGCTAGTCGGCGTGCTTTAGAAAATACAGGTGGTCCTGTAGTCGTGATGTGATGTGTAACATTGCTGGTTACACACGGTAGTTTCGTTTGAGTTTGTTGTATCTCAGGGTACTTATCGAGTAGTGGTTGATAGAGTGGGTCTATCATATGTTTAACTGTGACTGGGGATACTCTACAACCAGTAAAAGAAGTTACGCAAACGGACAAATTAGTGTTACCGTCTACTAGCCTCCGTTTGCGCGTGTCGATGATCAGATTGTGGTGTTGTAGAAGATCCATACCAATGATTGGCATAGAAACATCTGCAACAACGAAAATCCAGTGGATGGGTTTGCGTAAACCCACGTTAAGGTAAACGTACCTTTTGCCATACGTAGCGATCGGTTTTCCGTTTGCCGCCTGTAAGTTTAGGGTCGATTCGTGTAGTCGGTCGTTAGGAATCGCTGGGAGAACGCTAACTTCTGCGCCAGTGTCGACGAGGTAGCGAACTCTCGTTGTCACATCTGTGACGAATAACAGACGGCTTTGTTCGCCGGCTACGGTTGCCGTTAACGCGTGCCGGCTTGGAAGTTTCCCGAATTGCTTTTCGAATCAGTCGGTTTCGTGTTGGGAAAATTGCAGGGTTTTCTGCAATTTCTGGAAAGCTTTCCATACTGGTTATGATACCAGCACCAGTCGGGGTTATCTGTCTCTCGTGGTCTAGAGACAGATCGCTTACGAGAAATGCTTCTACGTGGTGTGCGCGATCTCTTACGGTCGTTACGAAGACTAAGATAACGCGTGAGTGTGTGACATAAGTCGTTTATATCATTCTGAGTCGTTTGAGGTTTTTCTTTGACTGAAAATACCTCGGTAGTAGATTTCGTAATTTCTAATATGCGGTCGGCAGATGCAGCTAGCTCGTCTAAGGCGTTGTTCTGGAACGAGACCAGAACTGCTTGCACCTGTTGGGGAAGTTTTGACAAGTAGAGTTGTTTGAATAGGCCTTCGTCGAAAGTTCTTGGGCCTATAACCTCTCTCATCCGTTGCAACATGTCTGTCGCAGAACCGTGTTGCAGGTCGATATTGTTGAAGAGTTGATCTAACCTTTGTCGATCGGTTAGGTCTCCTCGTTTAAGAATCGAGCGTTTTAAGATTTCGTAAGGATCGGAAACATCACTAGTAAACATACTAGGTGTTACGTACCTGTTGAATTCGCGCGGTAGTGCCTTGACTACTGCGAGGAATTGTGCACGTGTGTCGATCACGCCGTGCTCGGAAAAGTCGGCTTCTGCGTAGCAAAACCAGGCTTCGATGTTGTCGGGCCAGAAAGGCATCAGTTGAAACGAAGGCGGGGACAAAGTCTTAAGCTTGAGTACTTTAGGTGTCTGTTCAGTCATGATGAAGTATGAAGTACGATAATGAACAAGGGGAAAATATATATATCCAGGAAAAAACACGAAAAAAAAATCACAATGTTTAAAAAAGTTAAAAAAAAATAAGGCAATGATATATAAAAATCCCAAAAAGGAACAGACTCACAGTTGCAATTAGGTGTACCAGATCACGTCGGTTTCACCAATGATGATGTCACAGGTATTCAGTGTTTGACAACACTTCTACCAGTAACACCTTCTAATATAATTCGTACCCACCAAGAGAAATCAAAAGACAGAGTCGAGGAGATCGGAAGAGTGTTTTTGGCGATAACCAATATATCGGAATCCTCTGATCTAATCTGGCTAGCGATTGCGGTAGATGTTGAGCACAGCGTTCCCACACGTGATCTGGTACGGATGCCTGACCGAGCGCCTTTAGCTAGGTGAGTCCACTAAAACATTTGGTCAGCATATAGTGTCGAAAACTTAGAGCTATTTATTTTGGGGATTTATTTACCGCTACAGAT